CGCCATACTATTTTAGTTTACATTTCTTTGCTTTCGGCTAAAATTTAAACACATAGTGTTTTTTTTACTCTCTATCAAATGGCGTTAAACAAATTTTGGAATATATCGAAAATAAACATTTCAATATTATTTTTAGTGGTTATTTTTGTTCTTTCGGTAACTTTTTCTAATACATATATTACGTTAACCTGTAATTATCGCTCTGAACAAACTTTAGATGCTCTATCAAACAATCTCCCCAAAAATTTTGAAAAATCGAATCGAAAAACGGCTAGAAAGCCCTTCGGCTTTTAACATACGTTTTAAGCTACACATAGTCATAGAAATAAGCCTATGCGTATGCATAAGCCGGCTTACCTCCAGCCGGCGCTCCTTTAATTCTCACGGAATCCACCGTAGTTCCGCCGAGAAGTAAGGCACGAACGCGCGGGCTTTTGATCCAGCGCTTGAAGCCGGGTTTATCTTCGATTTCCCAGCCGGAACTCCAGATAGTGATCTTGTAATCGGCGAGGTTGTCCGAAGACTCCTCCGTCATTTTCCACAAAAATCTGCACGTTTTTGCGTAGCGGAAGCGGCTACGCAAATCCTGGCTTCCGACGAAATCCAAGACGCGTCGGTGAAAGCTGATTGGCAGCCCGGTGAAGTCCATACCTGGAAATAACCGTCCTTTTTTTTTAAAAATATAAGATTACACAATGAAAAATTGTTAGGAATTGCTATCCGAGTTAATGCGCTATGTATTTCAGCCTGTTCCCCTTGTCAAATACTCAGATTATACCGATTTTTTAAAGAAATAATTACAAACAGCGATGCTAGTGGCAATTTATTGTTGTTTTCTTGTTTCGGCGCAACTATAGTCTTGTGGGGCAAAAGCAACGCGCAGCCCCTCTGGACGCTTACGACGGGAAAAGGCATGGCTGTCTGGCGGAACAAAAGGCTTTGAGTTAACGCGCTTTATTCCATGTTATTTCTTTCTCTCGTCTTGTTACTCTTAAAAATAACTTTTTGGAATCTTGGCGTTTGGTTAGTCTTGGGTATTTGACGGGAGAACATTTTGACGGGTATTAATGGGCTGACTGGGGCGCGGGCTAGACTAGACTCTTACCTGATGTCGAAATTTCATCATATCAAAGCTTACCTTAGGCAATGTTATTGTTACTTAGTACATTTTGAACATATAGCATCCAGGACCCGTCCCCTTATCGCAAAAACGTTAAAATTTTTGAAGTTTCGAAATAAAGGAGTTTCGTCTTTTGAAATTTTTTGATTATGAAGGGCCGACATTCTGAATTGCGAGATTATGAAATTTCAACATTACGGACCTCGAAATTGTCGAAGGGAGACGCTTTCAAAAGGACTATCTAGGTATAACTATCGGGTTTAAACCCGGATTTTTAATTCAAAAGGACAGGGTAAGCTTTTTAATATTTATTGATTGAAACGCGAGTAAGGGTCAATACATCAGTTATCGTACAATCAAAAGGAAAGAGTCTCGCTACCAGTTAAATCAATCCTAATCCGACTCATCGTCCGTAAACGGTGGCGGCTCGCCATTTCTCGGCATTTTCCGCAGCACCCATCCGGCACCCATCTTCTGGACCCGCATCCGTACTCCATCCTCCCTAACGTGCTCTTCAGCACGTACACGACTCGGGTGCCCGATGTGGATCATCTCAATTTCGCGAAGTCCAGATTTCCATTCTTCCACATAAGCATCCACGAAGCCCTGGATGTTGTGGTGATCTCGAACCCAGCATTTCAGCTCTAACTTTGGGCATTTGAATTCGAGCCACAGTTTTTCGTCAGGGCACGGGTTCATCTTCAGGTGGTAGACGTTCTCGTTCAGGTATCGGATGAGCTCGAGGCTTGGCTGACGGCGATAACACAACAGCTGAAGCTCCCGGTACTTCGACCTCCTTGGCTTCATCGATTCCAGGAGAGCAATTAACTCGGCTTCATCCCTGATCCCGGCTGAATCTTTTATACCGACTGTCAGGTAGAGGGTCCGAAGATCCGGTGGCATACCTAAGGTTGGGGTCGATTACTATTTCTAGGTATTTATTATCTATTACCAAATCGACGCCTAGAATTTTAGAATTAACGATTTTTAGAAGTAATGGTTTTAGAAGTAATGGTGGCTAGTCCCTAAATTTCATACATAGAGCACAAATTCTACTTTTAGCTTTTACTATTATTTTTTTACGTTAATTTATTTTGCGCTTGAATTCAAATATTTTAATTACGCGTCAATAGACTCTTAATGCACTATAAAATGGCGACTAAAATACCCCATAAAATCAGACAAAAATATTCACATTTTTAGATTAGCGCCTGGAGGTTAACTAAGCGCAGAAGCCGGCTTACCTCCATCCGGTGGTCCGTAAATTCCCACCGATTCCACCGTAGTCCCGCCGAGAAGTAAAGCACGAACGCGCGGGCTCTGGATCGAAGGGTTCCGCCAGGAACGGTCCTCGATCTCCCAGTAGCTACCCCAGATAGTAATCTTGTAATCTGTAAGGTTGTCTGAGGACTCCTCCGTCATTTTCCACAAAAATCGACACGTTTTTGCGTATCGAAGGCGGCTACGCAAATCCTGACTCCCGACGAAATCCAAGACGCGTTTGTGAAAGCTGATTGGCAGCTCGATGAAGTTCATTCCTGGAAACTATAATTTTTTGGAAAATAAAATCAATCAATGATCGCAATTTGGAGGGATTTGACAGCAGAGTGTCGAAATTCGTAATGCCGATCATTCAGCATGTCCAATGCCGAAAATTTGGGAAATCTTGAGTTTTTTTCAGAAATTCTTACCCAAAAAATCTAGGGTTTTCGAAAATGTTTATAATTTCCCATGTTATTTTATAATAAGAGGTTTGTAGAATAAGCGATTCTGATAAGGCCGCCCGCTAACAGCGCTGACACAAAATTTCGATGTTGCAGCATGCAATTTCGAGTTTATGACGCGACATTTTGAGAACAAGACGATTTGACAAGCAATATAACTAACAGGTGTGAACCTGGATCTTTAATTCAAAAGGACAGGATAAGTTTTACAATATTTATTGTTTCAACGAAAATAAGATAAATACAGCAATTATTGGATAAAAAAGGTACAGCTTCTCTCTACCAACTAAATCGATCCTCATCCGACCCCTCCACAGAAAGCGGATGCTGAAGTCTAAGCGGTGGTGGCGACAGCTCGATATTTTTCGGCATTTTTCGAATCCGCCATCCAGAATTCATCTTCTCAACCCTTATTCGGTCTCCATCTTCTCTGATATGCTCTTCAGCACGCACCCGGCTCATCTGCCAAATCGAAATCAGCTCAATTTCCCGTTTTCCTGCATTCCATTCCGCCACAAACCCGTTGACGTACGCCTGGATGTTCAGGTAATCCCGATTATAACACGTCAACTCGATTTTGGGGCAGTTGAACTCGAGCCACAGTTTTTCGTCAGGGCACGGGTTCATCTTCAAACTTTCCACATTTTCGTTGATGTATCGAATGAGTTCGGCGCTTGGCTGGCGACGATAGGCCGACAACTTGAACTGTCGGTATTTCGATCTCTTTGGCTTCATCGACCTCAAAAGAGCGAGCATACCGGCCTCATCCTTGATGCCGGCCATGTTGTCGATACCAGCTTTGAGGTCAAGGGTTCGAAGACCTGGTGGTATACCTCCTTCCGGAGGACCGTGAATTCGGACTGAATCTACGGTAGTTCCGCTTAAAAGTAGGGCACGGGTACGCGCACTTTTAATATAAGGCTTGGGAAAACTGTGGTCGTCGATATCCCATCCTTGCCAATACATTAATACCTTGTAGTCGGTGAGATTGTCCGAGGTCTCTTCCGTCATTTTCCATAGAAAGTGGCAGGTACGTGCGAATCGGAAGCGGCTACGCAGATCTTGGCTCCCGACGAAATTGAGGACACGCTCGTGAAAGCTGATTGGCAGCGCGGCGAAGTCCATAGATACCTGAAAAACTACAAATTTTAATGGATGGTAATCGTTTTAATCATAGTGATACAATATTAATATGCCGCTAGACATTACTTTACCTCGCCCCAAGCCGAAAATTTCCAAATATTTTTCGATGTTTTAGTTATTTTGTAGGAGTTTTATCTACGCCATTCAATAGAGCATCGTAAAAAAATTTCAGAGTGTTATTACAACGCAAAATAATATAATATGAGAAAGTTTCAGCGTAAGGGGGGGGGGAGGGTGAAATAAAGTCTTACTGGGTATATTATGTATTTTTCCTGTTACTCTATTTTCTATTAGTTTTAGAATTAGTAATTTCGACGAAGAGCCTTTCTCGTTGAATTTAAAAAAGGTTTAAATGGGCGAGGAAGCTTGATAATCGGTTCTCTATATCGACTAGCATTTAAACCTGCTAAACCCAGAGAGAAAACTTATGATACCTATATACTTATGACACCTTAATGAAAAACAAATAGAGGGCTACCCACCATTACTTCTAAAATCATTACTTCTAAAAGTCGTTACTTCTAAAACCATTACTTCTAAAAGTTATTACTTCTAAAATTCTAAGCCTCGTTTTGGGCATAAATATGGCCAAACATGCCGAAAAACTGGTAATCCGGCCGTACCAAATTTTAGAAGTAACGTTTTTGGAAGTAATGATTTTTAGAAGTAGTGACTTTTAGAAGTAATGATCTTAGACGTAATGGTTTTAGAAGTAATGATTTTAGAAGTAATGTTTTTAGAAGTAATGATCTTAGAAGTAATGATTGTAGAAGTAATGATTTTAGAAGTCATGGCTTTAGAAGTAATGATCGTACCCAACAAATAGATACACACGAATTCGGTACGATTTTTGATTGCCATAAGAACCTCCTTGTCCATATAATCTTTATTAGTCCGGTACCGGTATCATCGATTTAAGGCAAGTGAATCATGTGAATCAAGACAAATATACATATGGATACATACATATGGATGGATGATGGTGGGATGGAATGGCATTACAAGGAAAATTAAGATTGGGCTTCTTGTGTCTTTTCGGGTTCGGGCATCATGGTGGCGGTGATGAAGTCATTGAGCTGTTTCCGGATCGCGGTTCTCTGAACAATGAGCGTATCGTAACTCTTTTATATAAGCTATCACTTTAACGCAGCAAGATTTATTGAAAAAATCCTGCTAGCCCACGTTGTTAAAATTTTAGAACTTGTAATACAGTTCATGAATTGTATAAAATTATTTTAGTTCCATTTTAAAGGAATTCTCTACGGTACCTTTTGCATTGCGCGGAGCACCTCGTTCTTGGCGCGGTTGAAGTCGGCTAGGTCCTGGAATAAATTCCGTATTAAGGTTTTTAGTAGCTACCCACCTCTCCAAGACTAATCCTCGCGCGGCGCAGCTTGTCCTTCAGCTCCTCGCGCTCGATGTGGGCGGCAATGTCGAGCTCGTGGGTTGTCGAGAATTTCTTGGCTTTCTGGAAGGTAGAATTTCATGTCGTAATCGATTCTTGGAAAATTTGGGAAGGGACTATAAAGCAGGCTAATCGCTAAAAATGCCAAACGGTTAAAGGGATTAGGGAGCTCGAAAATCTACCCATATCGATGACTAGGTCTCAACGGCTACGCGCCAATTCAAGGGACATGTCAGCATTTCGCAGAAATATTCCGAGACGTGCAAATGCTTTTTTCGAGCTATTCAAGCGGTGTTGCTTTCGGATTTCAAGTATTTTTTAGAATTCAGGCTTACCAGAATCTCGAGCTCCTCAACTGTCCGCTGCCCGGCATGTAACTGCACTTCTTTGTTGGTCAATTTCCGGCGTGCCTCAAAGAATTCGGTGGCCAACTGCTGGTCCTCCTAAATGCTTCCATTTTGTTTTATTTCGAAAGCTAGCGTTGTTTATGGTTGAATTTTATGGCTACGGAACATACCTTTGCAAAAGTATCAAAAGATTCCTCACGCTTCAGTCGGAACTCGATCAGCTTCCGGATTTCCGGGTCGGAGGCGAAGTCGCTGTGGAAACTCTGGAAAGAAACGATGTTCATCAAAGAGAGCTCTTTTTCAGACTTTTTAAATAGTTAAAAATGTTCGTAAATTTTGCAACTCATGCCATGCATACTTTATGATACTAGTTGGCATGTTCCAAATGCATGGAAAATGCTTTTTACGGCCAAAGATGACTTAAAAATTTTCATGGGATTTTCAGCGATTTTGAATCACATAAGCCCGAGGAAGGAAAAAAATAATTCAAAATGAATAAAATAAAAGTTCCACACAAAAAAGCTAACCGGAATTTAATGACTTTGGAAAAGCAAGGCATCAGACTCGATAACCATACAAAAATATCATTAAAACGGAGTCGAATAAGGTTAAGAATGGTCCGAAACTATGGCATCACGCTAAATCACCTGGAAAAATCATTAAAAACTAATTAAACAAGGTTTAAAGTGGGTTAATTGTCACTATTTTGAGCTATAGAAACAATGTTATTGTATTATCCTACTAGGTAACAAAATATAGTAAAAATTCGATTAAAAACTGACCTCGACCAAACTCTGATTCAGCGCCATCGTGATGAAATGGGAATAAATATGCAGGGAGTGGGGGTATGCAGTCGTTAGTTGGTCAATACGTGAATGACGACATAGGGCAATTTGGGGCCGATATCAACATGTCGGCCAGATGGTGGCATCATGCCCGGGGGCTGGCACGAATGCCCCGGGGCGATAGAGGAGGAGGATAGAGGCGTGTGAAATCACGTCATATCGACCTGAGATCGTTCGAAAGTTGGCGCGCTGCCCACCTGGGGCCAAGTGAAACATTAAGCAAAAAGTGATAGGGAATTGTGGCATTTTAACACCCAATACGTTTTTGACCTGTTATCCTATTTTTAGTCTATCCGTTAGAATACGGGGCGACCCAAAAAACCTCCCGTTGGCATTTGACGTTTCCTATCTGATCGGCTTCAAAGTTTTACCAGCCATTCAAACCCTTGAAAATTAGATGCAGCCGAATTTGTTAAAAAAATATTGTAAAACAAAAAGGTTATGGCGAAATTAGGGTTTATTTTGCCGATGACTGAGCCGGATTTTGACGAATTTCGATCTCGAATATTGGGCAAAAGTGAGGCGGGCGCTTTTCTTCTTGTCAAGGAAATATACAACAAAATAAATATAAGTCAAATATAACGAAAAAATCATTGTTCTGGCGACAACATTTCAGTTGTAAAATATGACCCTTTGAAAATTCAGCTGTGCGTAGTTTTTTGAGCCCTCATCACTGGCAAAAATTTAGAGCTGATCGGATAAGAGACGACCAAATGCCGGGGGGGGGGGTGGGGTTTGAATCCCATGCTTATTTATTTCTCCTAATTTCAGATGACCGTGCCCATGGATTTCATCGATTTGCCCTTAGCTTTTCACCGACGTCTTCTGGATTTCATTGGCAGTGCAGAGCCGAGGACGCGATTCCGCTACGCACGCGCGAGTCGACATCTATGGAAATTGACGGAGGAATCGAGCGACAATCTGACCACCTACATGGTCTTTGTCGGGCTTCAAAAACTCATGATTGATACTCAAGGCCGGCGCTCAATAATCAGTAATCCGCGCACACGAGCGCTGCTGCTTAGCGGAACTACCGTGGACAGTGTTGTTATCCGGCATGCCCCTCAAAACGGCGTCACCCCCGGGCTGAAGGCACGGAGCGTTGAATTACGGCTCGGCGCGGAATGTTGGGAAACGCTGTTCGAAGCGATGATACCGAAATGCGGACAATACACTAACATCATTCTGGGAGAACAAGTCGCTATCACGCCGGATATGCTACGCTACATCGGAACGCATAGCGACCAATTGACAGCGGACAGAATTCTGCGGGCCGACCTTTGGGCTGAGTTGAAATGCCGTTCAGTCAATTTCCAGTTTGCTCCCGCTGATTTCCAGCGCGTGAGGCCGTTTTTGGATTCCGTGGTAGCTGAGTGGATGGCGGGCGTTCGCGAGATTGACTCGGTTCGAATTGGCAACCACGTCATGGGCCCGTGGCTCGTCCAGAAGCACTACGAAAGGGCAGACGGTGACGTCCTTCAGTTCGGCCCGTTCGAGAATTTGACTGGATTGGATTCGAATGAGACGTATCTGCTGATCAGGCCGCGACATTATTTCAACTTGCTCGGTTTTTAGCTAAAATTAAGCAATTACCCCCCGTTTCCGCAAACTTTCATGGTCCCATTCTTCAAATACCTGCTTCACCGGCCGTGCCTATCCTCAAACTATACCGTTTGTTTTAATAAATCTTAACGACGCATTTGTAAATCGCCATTCCAGACAAATCGACATTGCAATTAAAGACTCGGAGATAGTATTTTGAATACGAACATTTTATACGAAAACTACAGAATAGCTCCGCTGGATGAATGCAAGATTCAATGTTTTTAAATAAACGGCCCTGCTTTATTTTATTATATAGTTAAATAAACACATAATAATAGATTTTGACGACGCATAATCATCAAATGCATATACGCTACGCATAAAGTCTTTTTAAAATAGCTAATTTATACAAAATTTGCAAATAATTGCGTTTTGTGGCGGCAATAAATGGATTCCATTTCCATACCCATTTTAAAACCCCGATTTTCGAAAATCTCCGCTTTCGACAAAAAAAAATCATGTTTTTGAAAAGCTATATAGTCGACAAGTGCTTTTCAGTCATTCGGAACTTCGAAAAATTTACGTCAACTACCTCTAGTAATTAGCCACCAAGGTGAAAAAATCTATGAAAATGTTCGAAAATTTTAGTTTCGACAAATTATTAAGAAGCTATTTGCGAAAACGCGGCTGTCGAAAATGGGCGCTCGCGGTGGATTGACAGAGGACTTTCCAAATACGGTATCTACACCGCATACCTCGCGCACCAGTGTGAATGCCCGTAGGCTAAATGCGGATGCGAGTTGGATTCAAGGGATTCATCGATACTGCCGTTCAAAGCTCGCGCCCAGTGTGCAGGGTCAACCAAGAAGGGTCGGTTCAAAACAGCTGCACCAAAGTTGTGTTTTGAAAAATCATTGACTGAATGCTTTTTCTTCATGATGCATGCATATAAACTGTCAATTTCTTTGGTTTTTACAACCATTTTTTTTGGCCGTTTTTGTAACGAATTCTTTTAGCGAGATCCCGCGATGGAATTCATGGAACTCCTCTTGTATCTATATGAACGTTTTGTGAACCTCATCCTCTGCGTTTGGGACCACCTTGTGAGCGAAGTCTTACATGAGGTAATGAATGGGACGTTTTAAAGGAATGTGTGGACTCGGTCCGCGAGGGAATCCATAAATTCTGCCGGGCTAGCGGCCCGCGACACGTGTATTTCTTTCGATGCCAGGCGTTTTTGTCATCCGTTAGGAAGTTCGCCCATTAATCTGGTAAAATCCACAGGAAATATGGACTAGCTGTTAGCGAGGGGAGGAGGATTGTTCGCAGGCGAAAACCACATATCTCCCATGCAGCAAAGCCCGAAGTGGCCTGTACTGAGCAATCAAAAGCTACTAACAACACCGCTTAAACAACCATTTACAGGGTGTTCCAAAAGTTCTGGCAAAATGTTCGTCGAAAATGGCCAGAAACTCGGAGCCAATGAAACTGTTGTACCTTATTAGTTACGATCCACACTTTAATGTGGCAAAAATAAGTTTTGAAGAAATTCACTTTTGAATTTGATAGGGGGTATAATACCTCCGATTCAAAATGGCCACGGCACGGACCCTTTTGCTGACATATCACTCCGGAGCCCAGCCATGCCCGATTCGACATATTTGAATAACAGGTAGTCCGACGCACCACCTACGTATCCATAGTCAGAAAAAAACTTATTACCACGGATGCGCAAGTCAGCGCGTTAATTTCTCGGTAAAAACAGCCACGCCCAAAGCCGAGGTTTGCCAATTTTCTTGCGACCCAAATTGGTATGCATGAGGGCCGGGCCGCTTACATAAGCCTAGGCATACACATATGGGCTAGTATCCCATAAAACACCACTAAAAATTCCAATTGTTTATCTGATTTTTAAATAGCCAAACATTCGATAAACGCACGGCACGCCCGAATTCTCCAGTTGGGCTTGATTACTCAAGTGTTTGGGGAAAATTATTTGTGTATTTGGCATGCTTTTGGTTTTCCCGATTGCTTGGCATCAGTAGCAAAAGAGACCAACAACTCACGTTTCGATTCCGAAGTGAAATCGCGGTGAAAAGTTAGCCCTGCTTACAACAAGCTTACAAAAACGGATTGTAAACGGTCGGCCGTCATTTATCGATCCAACCTAACTTTTTTTTGGCTAATTCGTTATATTACCGTTAGCCTAACATGACAAATAACCCATAAGGCGGACGCGGGTGAAGCCATAGATTTGCAGAACTTTTGGAACACCCTGTATATAACTGATAAAGCGGAAAGACGAAGAAAATAGTTTGATCCTGTAAATGGTTTTCCTCCCCCCATTAACAGTCCAGTACCGGTAATATGAACCAACCGAGGAGTGAATCAGATATATTGATAAGATAATGATAATTATGGTGACTTGCCTTAAGATTTTAGCACAATAAACCAGGCGCCAAAAATCTTAATTATTTTGATAATTAATAGAAAAAAAACTATTTACAGTTTCAGAAAGAGAAGGCCTTGAATTTCGTCGATTTGCCCGAAACCTTTCACCGGCGCCTTCTCGATTTTATGGGCAGCGCTCCGATGAAAACGCGATTCCGCTACGCGCGCACATGCCAGCTTCTGTGGACAATGACGGAGGAATCGACGGACAACCGCTCGACGTGTCACCTCAATATATACCGCGACGAGGTCGGAATTAGGGAGCTACCCACGTACAAGTTCTTTAATAACTTTTCCAATACCGTTTTTTCCTTTTTAACTACAGTTTGCCCAACTTACCGCACCTTTACCATTCCTTATCGCACGCAACGCCTACTATTATCTGGGACTACGGTAGCCGAAGCGAGGATTTATGAGTTGCCATGGTTCGGGTTCATTTCTGGCCTTAAAGCGTGGAACCTAATTCTGGAGATCTGGAGACCTTGCAAAGCATTACTCCAGAGGTTGGAGCCACCAACAGGGAACTATCAGTGCGTGCGGCTTTTCAATAGAGGTAGGCCGAGCCGGGAGTGTATTGACTACATCGCGACCCATTGTGAGCACAACTTTTACCTGACCACATCACTAAGCGCGGAGTTTTGGGGCAAATTGCGGTGCCCTAATGCCGTATTCACCGTTGACGAAGTTGATCGAGAAAAAATGGAACCGTTCTTGAAGATGCTGATGGCAGAGTGGCAAGCGGGAACCCGTGAGATTGAATGGTGGGTGATTGGAGTGGGCCTACCAGATTGGAATTGGATCAGGGTTGAAAAGTTCGAGAGAAAAGATAAGAAACAACTGCGCCTGATTCACACCGTGAACAGCTATCACATTGTGAGCGGGCAAGCCGCCATATACTTCGCTGATCTATTTTAGAACATTGGCTGTAATTTTGGTTTTTTAGGATTCGCGGGAGGCGGGGACCAAAG